CTTGCTGCCGAGGAGGACTTCCAGATACCTGGGACACTTAGGAATGCCATCTCCAATGACACTGGAGAAGGGTGCTGGTGTCTATGCTGCTGTGGTGACTCACGGGGGTTGACTCAGAGGCTTTGAGTTGAATCACCTGCATCTCATTGGACCTACAGCCTGTTCCCATCTCAGGCATGGGAAAGCAGCAGAAGCTGAAACAAACCAAGCCTCTGTAACACAAATGAAGGACAAAAGCAACTCAAGGACCAAAGCAGATCTCTAGTGTCATTTTGGGACACCTGTGAGGGGGGTCTATGTCCAGAAGAATAGTGTCTCTGAGCCTACAAAATGATCTTCCTTTTACAAGGGTTCAGTGCTACTCCACCTCTGCTTCTGATGGAGAAAGGATTGCCTAAGTCTTATCCACACACAGGCCTTCACTCTCAGGATTTGCCCTTACTGTTTCTGAGAGGGTAGCCAACTACACTATACATTGACTAGCGAACTGGCCATGCAAAATCCAGGACAGTGGCCAGAAAAAAAGGATAAGGATACATGAAGCTACTGCCAAGCCCTACCCAGAATGAAGTCCCAACTCAGCAAGAGCCAAACTGGCTGGGTTGGACCTAATAGACAGGAGATGGGAGCCAGCCAAGGGAGAAACTGGAACAGCATGCTTCTACATCTGTAGAGATGAAGCTGTTCCTGTGCCACAGGCTTGAAGAGGGCCTCTGGGGATTCAGATTGCATGGGGACTGCAAAAGCCTGCTGGGAAACAGGATTTCATGCTCTTACAAGGAAGGCCCTCAGGGCATGATGCAAAGTTGCTGGTAGCTAAGGCCTGGAAGAGTGGAGGCAACAATGGTTCATCATTAGCATTCTTGAAAGCAGGTCTAACCTTGGCAGACAGGAATGGGGGGAGAGTATCAAGGCTAATGAGTATTGTGGTCTTGTAATGGTTAGATTACGAGAGGTCAAACAAGTGCTTGTAGGTAAGTTTCTCTTGCCCACGTCCTATTTCTTTTTTATCTTCCTCCTTGTCTTTATCCTACTCTTCCTCCTCCTGCATTCCTCCTCTGCAGCATTGACAATAACTGAGCTGCTAGTAGCTGGTGGTTAAGACTAATCACAGTTGAGAGAAGAAACTCTACACACAGTCTTCCTTAGGTATATAAGGGACATATATGTTCAATAGAAGTCAAGCTGAGTGAGGCAAAGGGGACTGTGCGCTGCCTCACACAACAAACCAGTGGCTATCCCTGCTAAATTTGTGCTCTGTGACCCAGATTTAGGAACCCTTTGATTCAAGTGATAGTAGGAAGAGGCAGCACCAAAGAAATGAAACTTACAAATGGTCCTTTCTGCATTTGCCAAAGGGAACTACAGTTGTAGCACAGTCATTAAAATCAAGGAAGTCATAATAACCAGCAACTCTGTTGTAGACAGTGTCCTATGGGAGGTTTATGCTTTGTGAATCAATGAAATGTCTAGAAGTCGTTCTCAGGAAGGACTTTCTGTATTTAACATCTCTGAACAAAGAGTGTTATCAAATCCGAAGACATAGACCATTCCTTGGAAAATGGTGTGTAGGTTTTGAATGGGGGAGACTGTGAACCAGCATACTTCATATTAGGCTGCAGATTTAGTGAGAAGCCCAGTTGGTTTTGTAAAGAAAGGTTTCAGAATATAAACTAATGCTCAGTGTAATGGAAATTACAAATCAAAATATGAGATAACATAAACTCATTGGAATAAAAATTTACAGAAAATGAAAATGGGAGATTATCCTTAAAGTATAAAAATCCTTACATCCATTAAATGGCCACTTCTATAAGTTTCCAGGATAAACCTGCAGGTTTACAAGCTGCTGAATGGGCCTTCTGCAGCAAGCACACTGGACTAATTCATCAGAAATCAGGATGATTGGCTGACAACTTGTCCTCTACATCCTGCCATCACCCACCAACACTGAGCCATGTAAATTAAAAGGCAGGAGCACAGGGTCACTAGTATGTCATGTTATTTGAAGGCCTTTCACTGGCAATCTACAAAGGTTGTGGCTTCTTTAAATAATGATAGACATGTCCAAAAAATAAAGATGGAAATGCAGACTGACTGAGAAGCCTGGCCACTAAGTTCAACAGACCAGTTTGGAGGAAGGTCACAGATATTTTACAAGTCAAAATCTTGCTTCCTCAGGTTGTATCCTCGCCACCACAAACTCCCAAATGGAATGGAAGTAGCACACAATGTCTACAAGAACACGGGAATGCCACTTCCTCCCATGAAGTATGTCATGAAGACAAAAGTAGCCATAGAAACAGACCTTGGAGTGGCACCTGATCTGAGCGCTCTAGGAAAAATCTTATAAATAAGATTGGAAGAAAGGTTGCAAAATGTGGCCCTAAGAGGTGAATTTAAAAATGCAAGTATGCAGGACCAGCAAGATGATGCAGTGGGTAAAGGCCTTTGCTGCCAAGCCTGATGACCTGAGTTAAATCCCCAGACGCCACCTGATAGAAGAAACGTACTTGTCTAAGATGTCCTCTGACATGGGTTCTGTGCCCCACGTTAAACCTATATATGTACAATAAATACATTAATGTAAAAAAATGCAAAGAAAGGAGAGTCATATAACTGGAGGGGTAGCCAGTAATTGTCTCTGGAATTACTGAGTTCATTCTTTGGCATGAACAAAAAAAAAAAAAAAAACTGAACAACAGGAAAAGACAGAAATAGAAAGGAACAGCCTTATTGCTTTAGGATGTGTTAAACAGATGCTAGCTTGGGTATTTTATTGGCTCCCTTTACACCACTGGACCTGCCCTAGACATATGCCCCTGTGCATTCCAGCTGTTTCTCAGAGTCTCCTGGGAACAAGAAACTACTATCTCAAGGAGCCTGCCTTCACTTTGCCTGTGTGCTTACATTCCTCTAAGCTTCCTTCAACAGACCATTACAGAAATTCACAACTGATCAAAATTCAGAGAGAAACTTACTGTGGAGTGCCAATCCTAACAAATACATCAAAAATGCAACCCTACAACTAAGGCTTAGTTAACATTATGAAAGAAGGGATAAAACAATTGTAAAAGCTAGAGGACCAGGAAATCTACTATGAGATAGCATTTTCTGCATATGACGTGGACTCTACACCTGTGAAATCACAATAGTACAGTCATCTAAATAAGATCAGGACAATGACAACCCAGGGAAAACTCACAAGGCCCCATACTTAGCTCAAGAGCTAAAGTCAGCCAGGTGATGGTTGCAAAGACCTTTAATCCCAACTCTCGAGAGGCAGAGGCAGAAGCTGTGGAATCTCTGTGAGTTTGAGGCCAGACTGGTCTACAGAGTGAGTTCCAGGACAGCCAGAGCTGCTTTACAGAGACGCCCTGTCTCAAAAACCAAACCACATGGCAATCAATGACCATTGAGAGAGGAAGACTGGGTCTTCTCCAGTGACAAACCCCCTGACAGGTTCTCTCACCACAAATGGTCAGCCTTAAACTCAAATACATTAAAACGGACTCAGAAGATTGTACTTAAATGTGTATATAATTATAAATATTTATGTTCGTTACATAATTATTTATATTTAAATACATATTCACATACAAATTACATATACATATATAATTAAAGAAGAAATTCGCCTTCTACCATAGATAATCTACCAGGGCTAATCATCTACCACAAATGTTTAGATGATTTTCAAATGCTCACTAGTACATAATCATTTTTACTTATTTTAGTTGTGTCTAGCTAAAGAGATAGAAGCTTCCCTTATGATAGATCCAGTGAAAACAAGATCACAAAGACCTGAACAAGGACATTCTAACAAGGAAGGGGTAAATTTCAGCAGAGCCCCACCCCTAGACAAAGAGCTACAGATAAGTAAGGAATGCTGAGAGTGGGAGAGTTGCCATTGCCCGTGGATGAGCCCCCAGTTGGTTATGCAGTAAATAACAAGTCAGTCAGCCCTAACAGCATGCATGCAAGCAACACTAAAGGGAATCATTTGTATTTGTATATTTATGCACATATATGGGACAACATGTGCATAATAATAATAACAAAGAAGAAGTGGCCACAAATTCAAGGGAGAAGAAAGGGGGTAGATAAGACAATGTGGAAATGATGTAATTTTATGAAAAAAAAAAGTTACTGACATGGACCATTGAGAATGGCTTTTAGACTAAGGTAAGAAACAGAAGTGACTGGCAATACTGTTTGACCCACAGAATAAAGTGATCTGGTGGCAAAGTACCACTGAGGATGTGGCTATTTAATCAAACAACAATGCTTAGAATAATCCTACTAACAAGTAACCAGAGGAATGTATCCATCTCATCCTACCTGGGCACACAGTATTGCTTTCAGGACAAGCTGAACAGAATATAAGGAAATGCAATCCTTATTAGGATCTATATGAAGACACACAATCAACACCAGGAGCAGTTGGAAGAAACCAATGCAAGACTGAGATAGGGGTGAGGTGGGGCCCAAGTAAAAAGTAAAAGCAAGGATAGACCACTATGCCTAAGAAGTTCTATCATCTTGCAACCTATATATCTAAAGGACTCATGCTAATACCCAAGGTTGTACTAAGGGCTGGTCCTTGAGCAAAACAGTGAGAGTAGAAGCAACCATCCCCCATTTTGAAGATTAAGAGAGGCAAAGGTGCCTGTGCTTCTCAACACATACAGGATAGATTTCTCTGAGAATTTGAAGCACATATTTGCATAGGAAGGAGAAGAACTGGGGTCTTCCCACCTATCTATCCACTCACCACATATACTTGGCCTGGCATCCCTCTCTAAACTGACTGTGAGCTATCTTAGTGACATCACATGACAAACAAAGAGAATGATGACTTCAACAGATGTCTTTTGAGAATCTAGAACTTCATAGTCACTATTTATTGGGTGTTACTACTGGACCAAAGACACCTTGACTTGCTAGGACAGGGACTTGTGGTCTGCTGCTCAGAATATTCCTGGTGCTTGTGTAGCATCATGGCTAGCCAGAGTGTAGAGGAGGATTGTGAAACCAATGGAACCCCAGCTGTTGATGAAGAAGCTGAAAGTGAGGACATCCCTCATTCTTCACCTGATTCAAAAGTGGATTCAAGAGAGGCTTTGGTAATACAAGACCAAAGCCAACCTATAGCCAGTGAGGAAGATAACACTAACCTCCTCAGGCTGTCCTTCCCAAGAAAGCTCTGGGCCATTGTGCAGAATGATGAATTCAAGTCTGTGAAATGGACTGAGGAAGGAGACACCATAATGATTGAGGTAGACCTTTTCCAGAAAGAGATCCTTCACCTCAAGGGGGCAAAGAAGATTTTTGAAACAGACAGCTTAAAGAGTTTCATTCGCCAGCTCAACTTATATGGGTTCAGGAAGATAAGCAATGAGACCACTGTAGCTTCTGGAGAGAACAAGAAAATAATGGTAATATACTAAGTATTTTTGTCCTACTTTTAATAACAGAATCATACAAATTATCTCCCCAAATCATGTCAGTTCTTTACTTCCAAGGATAACTTTTAGCAGGAGATGTTATTCACCTAAAGGGTCAAAATGTAGACTTTGAATGTAATGCCTTTGTTCTCAAATTACATAAGGCCCACCTAAAAGTCTTCAGACAAGAATAGCTATGCTCTCTAGATAATGGTGCATGCACACACTCCTGCATGTGTGTGTGTGTGTTACAATCTTATATACTGTTTATTTTTAATGAGATCATGCTACAAGACATAAACATCCTTGCTAACTAAAGTTATTTTTTCATCACAACTAAGATACTGTGACTGGTGGTAGGAAGGGTTGTGGGGATCATCTCAAGGTAAGTAAAATATTCATTTTCTTTCAGATGTACCGCAACTTCAACTTTCAAAGAGATAAACCTGGGCTGTTTCAGTATATCTGGGGAAAAGAAGACCTAGGCAATCTTGCCAACAAAGCTACCTGTATACCCATTCCACTACAAGAGCCAACTTCAAAAAAAAAGAAGATGTTACCTACCAGATATTCTCCACGATTCTATCATAAACCTGAGGAAAACAGTGAAAAGTCCAAGAACAACTCCAATGACCAGGCACACAAAGGAAATCAGGGTTTTATATTCTCTTCTGTATGGGCTATGAAAGCTATTCCTCGATGTTCCCTACAAAATCAGCCTTCTGGGGAGTCATGTAGCACAACCGTGGAAGACACTTCTCGCAGTATTATGTATATGCCTCCAACTGCCCCTGGAGTCCAAGGAACAGAAGAAGTACCGTGTGCCAGCTCATCAGGGCACTCCATTTTGCATTCTATGATGTCTCTATACAACAATTGTTGTTCTGCCCTATTGTCTGCCCTCTCACAAAGGCCAACAAATGAATCCCCTGATGAAGAAGAACAGGAAGGCTCCTCAGAGTACATGCGTGTCATCTGTGAGCCCATAAAGAATAATCCTCACTTATGAACTCATGGGCCAATGAAAACTAGTAAAAAGAAAAGTGCTTTAAGGTTAAATTGAGTTTTGCTGTCAAAAAAGATAAATCTAATAATGGCAAATAAATAAACTAGGCTAGAGTCTGTACCATTCTATATCCTTGGCTTTCCCAACATTGTATTTACTTTGCCCCTTCATGAGAAGCAGCAATATTTTCATGCCCTCAGCAAAGTATTCTGCCTGGTAGGGTGGAGAGCAAGTCTGGGAAGATCTGCTCCCTCTCTTGACATTTGTCTACTGGCTACTGGTGTCACCTCATACTACTCAGGTATCTTGAAGCAGGAGATTCCATTCCCCCGGGGCCTGCACCCCATAGCAGATGTTGCCAGGAAGTATATGAGCACAAGCTGAAAGTCACTACCAAGCACCTGTTAGTCATATAAGCGCAACTTAAACTAGCTGCCTATCTGCAAAGAAATGAGCACTACTATGCCCTGGCCCCTGAAACACAGGCCATTCCTGAGCAATTGGTGGTGGTGGTGGGTGACTTTCTAACACATAAGGAAGACAGACATTAGAAACTTTGCAAAAAAAAAAAAAAACTTCTAAAATGCTACTACAACATCTAACCCTTCCTTAATCAACCAACCTCAAGAAATCAGAGTTAGATTTAGGACTTTTAAGAAAAGGAAAGACTCGGTGTGACCCACCCTTCCTTGCCTGGGGAAACTTCTCCAGAGAGCTCCTGCAGTGTGGAAGGACCTGATATTGTTGGGTTTCTCCATCAATTCTATTCATCACAGATTTGCCAGGGCATTGGTGTCGATTCGGTGCCTGGCCCCAGGCTTGACACCTGGTCCCCTGGATGCAGTCCATGTACTCACTGCCTGGGTTTCCACAGAAACAATGACATGGGAAAGCACATACAGGGCCCCAGACATTAAACACTATTTATCTGTGCAATCCAGATGACAACAGGCAACCAGAAGAAGCTTTAGCACAAGAATCATCTTCTGGCAGTTTTCCTTTCCCCTAAAGGCCAAGGTACTTGAGGTTGTTTCAGCAAGGGCATGGAAGTACACCAGGAGGAATGTCCTCACTGCCATGCCCTTCATGAGTGCATAGCATTCTGTGTGGCTCAGGGAACAGCTCCTAGTGGGGGCCATGTCCAGCATGCCAATGGTGGCTCAGTGTTGCTTTGGCTTTAGGGTATGCACTGTGATGGTGAGTTGTGAGGGAAATATTTAGCTGCCATCTCAGGACCGTTATGTCCTCTCTCCAGAGTCCACAGTGGTCACACCCTCCTCCCCAAAGGGATTGAGTTCTAGAAGCCACTCTAGTCACTCAGTGTCCATGCTGCCTATCACAGTCATTGCCATTTGCACACAATCGGGCACACACAGTCCAATGCCATAAAGAGACTTTCCTGATATTGACTCTCAGACTACAAACTGGAACAGAGACCCAGAGTGGAGCAGTAACTACTTGAGTCTGAGGAAATGAAGCCTGGTCAAGCTCCTCTGGCGAGGCTTAGATGGAGTGCTGTTTCAGGAAGATTGAGCACACATCCTCCAGCTCACACTGAAACAGAAATGCCAACTTATTAAGCATCATTCTAAGTCCTCCTCTCTAAGTTAACAATACCGTGTTCTGAACACCCTCATGGAGTACCTGTCACTGCTCGGTTGAGGTTGCACTCTTGCCAGGGCAAGGCCTCAATCTCCTTGGGGGGCATTCACAGCAAGTCCTCATACACATTTTTCATAGTGTTGCTGTCTCTATGAAGATTGCGATTGCTGATGGTACATGTCTAGTAGGTATTCAGCAAAGGAAACAAACACAAGTCACAGTGTGATGTATTTTAAGACAACAAAAAGCTGCTAGGAGGAGAAGCAAGCAAACCTTATCTTCCACAGACCCCTGGGTCCAAACAAAGGAACACATGACAACTAACCCCATTAGTTTCAGAGCCATTTTCCATGTGACCTGAAATTCCATTGAACTTAATGTTCCACTGCCTCTCTTTGTCACAAGTCAGTGGGTAACTGCTTGGTAATAAGTCCAATGAAAAGGGCTAAGATTGAGATAACTGGTAATTGAAGTTGAGATAACTGGGAGACTTTTCAAGATAGGATAGAAATTTATAGATAAAGTTGCCAGAAGGACAATGTGTGGCCAGCCAGTGCTTGGCCATGAACAGTATGGTCTTCCACCTCCAGGCTTCCCGGTTAGATCTCCAGTTCAAAGATGGATGGCTCCCACTCCCATGTAAGGGAATGTTCAGAGCCATGGATGAGAACATGTGGCCAAGTTCAGGCCACATGGCATCACTGTTGATATGGACTTCTGGGACCACCCCCAGTAGACTGGTATTTCCAGACATAAGCTCCAAAGCTTTTGCCCAAACTCTGACATCTCTTATACAAGAGGTATAAACTGACACACAGCCATACATGTACCTACACCTACCCATAAGTACATATCTGCCACACAAATGTATGAAGCCAATACATGTTCAGCCAATTGGGCCCAAAGCCTTCATCAAGGACTGGAAAGCCATTTATGTAATCATGCACTATTCTGCATTGGCCACTAGGAGACACTGTTGAAATCATCAGACTCTGGGGGATATCTGATTCATCAGTATTAGAGCAAGGTCTCTATTAAGCCTTGATGAGCGGCCTGGAAAAGGTGCAGAGGGCAGCTGTGACCCTGATGTAATGAACTGGAAGGTGGAGCTATGGAAGGAGCCGGGCAGGCCAATGAGTGCTTGCAACTGTCGGGATCCAACAGGCATATTAGCCCTGCAAGGTTTGTTGAGTTGAAGTGGAGGTGGAGCTCTGAGCCGTGACATAAGTTGGGTTGGGTCACTGACAATGCCATTGGTGGGCCAGGAGATAGGAACAGCAAAGCTGGGATGTGATTGGTGGTGCAGAGAGTACTAAAAAGTAGAATTAGAAGGGCTGAGGAAAGAATAGAACTAGGTTATGAGGTAAGAACCCAGCTGTGAATCCTGACCTAGGTAGGCAAACACATGGAGTGGGGCTATAGTAATGAGGTAGGAACTGAAGGTAGGGTTGTGAATATTGATCTAGTGGACAAAATCTAGAGAATGTAAGGATGGGGCCTAGGAAGTTTGAGTAAGCCTTGCATTGCATTCTGATATAGTGTGGAGATGGACTGCTGGAGGAGTTGGGCCTCTTTGCTGAGATTTCTGAGGTAGACTTGAAGGTATCTACTGGAGGAGTTGGGTAGTATTGTGTGATGAGGCAGGAGCTACAGGAGTTGTCAGCGCTGCCAGATGAGCAAAAGCAAAGCTGTCAGTGCCAGAGCGTGGTGGCTCTTGGAGAAGCGCAGGGCAGAGCTGTGGATCTTAAGGCAAGGCATTTGGAGTTGAGCTACAGAAAGAGGAACAGATTTGAAATGTTTGAGCTAAGGTAGGATTATTGTGTTGTCATCCAGGAACACCTTGGCCACCCCTTTGGGACCTGGCACAGTGTGTCACCCTTACACATATGGCAGGCGGTAAGTACCCTGGCTCTGTACACAGGTGCAAAGGTCCCTTTAAAAAAGTTCAGCCCACTCTCTCTTTCTATCATTTCTCTGAAGTAGACAGGTCTCCGTCTCTTTCTTTCTCTCTTCTCTCTCCCCACTCTCTCTCTCTTCCCTTCCCCCACTCCCTTCCCTTCCCCCAATAAAACTTCCTTCCCATGCAAGTTCTGCCTGCATGGTGTATTGTCCCTCACCCACCATGGGATCTGCCAAGGTCGCACCTCTCGCCATATGTCATAATAGGTTGTCCATGCGTGTGGTTATGTTAAGTAGGAACAGGGCTGTGTGACACATGGCAGGATGGGGGTTTCTTAGATATACTCAAAAGAGTCTTGTGGAGTAGCTGGGTTGAATTTGAGGAAGGTTTCCTAAATGCTGGGTTCACAATGAACTGATCTTTCCATTTTAGTGAGATGAATCTGTCATCCTGAAAATGCTCCATGAAACAGGACTTATGGAGGGGAGGGGCAGAAATTCTTGAGCATAGGAGACCTCAGAGCCCTCTGCAACAGTGACACACTGCTTTGAACAAGGCCTCACCTACTCTAACAAAGCTAGACCTCTTAACAATGCCACTCACAATGAGCTTATGGGGGGCAATTATATTAAAAATACCAGAGAAATATCTCTATGTGTATATACATAAATATACAGTATACATGCATGTATATAATATATATGCTTGATAAGTAGGTATAAACAAACATATTCTTAAGTTTCCTAAACCCTATTAAAGTGGGGGACCTGAACCGGTGGTGGACACAGATGGTGTCCTGCCCCAGACTTTTGAGTATGCACGGTTCGCAGTCAACTAAGAGCCTTCTCAGTGCCAGAGGCATGGGGCAATCTGATAACATCACACCGCGTGCTGCCCATGATCTCTAGGCCCCAGCACAGGAGAGGAGAAAGACAACAACAGCTCCTGTCACCCTATTTGGATGGGGCAGGTGGTATTCAACCAAGCACCGCCCGAGACCCAACCAAGAGCCTTGTCACTGGGCAGTTGGACACCATTGCGGTAAGAGAGTACAGGCTGGGGAGCTGGGGGAGAGGGACAGGTGGAATGGCTTGTGAGCTGGAGACAGGTGGGTCTGGAGAGCTGAGAATGATGAGGAATGGGCTGGCACGAATGGCCTGCTGCCCATCAGCGATGCCTGGGCCTGTGCTATGGCCAATGGCCAAGTCTTGAGCCTAGGCCATGACTCAGTGGAAGGGCCCATGATGTTGATATCTGTGGATCCTGTTGTCACTTGGGGTCAGACAGGGGCCTGTGATATGGTCCCCCATCTGGGGCCACAGGTGTGTCTGAGGGCTGGGCTGCCATGGAGGTCATAACGATCTGGGTGCCCTGTATAACCACCTGGAGCCATAGTAATAACCTGGCCCAGGCTGCTGCCAAGGACCATGTCTAGATCTGTGTTCCTGCCACAGCTGGAGTCTGTATTGATTGATGTCCCTGGCCGATGTTGCTGCCAGGG